ATGCACACGAGAAGAGGATTCTCTCTCTCTCTCTCTCTCTCTCTCTCTCACACACACACTCCCTCTCCCTCCCTCTCGGTCTTTCTCACGCGAGAGAAACGAGGCTGGAAGCACCGATAAGATTCATGCATAAAAACGAATCTGGTTTACGAGAATGCTCGTCGTCTAGAACACGATTATTAAAACGTGCCGTGCCGCCAGCTCGTAGACCCCAACGAAGGAAACCTCACAGTTCCCGGCCTTCTTGGAACTTTAAATTAAAACCGCTCTCGTTGTTTTGCGATCGGTAAAGGATCCCGATCGGCGCTCGAGGAGTTGAGAGCGTTCCGGTGTCGTTCGCAATCGGGGGCATAAAGTGTCCGCATAAAGCAAAGTCGGGCGTAGACACCGGCCAACCACCAGGTAAGGACACGCTCGAAAAGGTGCCCTCGCCGTCCTCTCGCCGACCGAGAGGAAAATCCTTTTTTTCCTAGGAAAATACCGATCCTCTTTCCTTCTACGCGATTTGAACGCAATCTGTCGAACTTAGAACGAAGTTTGGAACGGAGATAAATAATAATAATTAAACGCGTGAGAGGAAGGTAACGCGAGGAAGGTAGCGTTAGAGATATAGGTACGAGACTGTTCTAGATTTCGTCTCTTCTTTTCTTTGAAAACGAATACAGGTATGTATACTTGGCAAACACAAATTTGGAACGAACACGAAATTGCGAAATTTTGTAACGATCTTGATCTCACGTGGAAAGAAAAAAAAATCGATGAATCGATTATTTTATTAGAATATATTTATGTTTTAAATAAATGATGATAAATGATATTTCTTAGAAGTCAGTTTCACTTTTTTTAAAACTTTTCTCTCGTTCGAATTAATCTGATTATGATTTAATTATTTATGTCTTATGTCCCGTTTTCTTCTAGATGCATGCATGCTCTCATGCATTGAAAATTCATCGTCAACCGTGCTATTGCTACGGGTTTGTTCGAATCTAAATACCTGATCCAACTTCTATAATGCAATTTCAATGTCGGTAGTCGATTACAGAACACTATAAACGCGTATCTCCGGTAAATCCACTAATTGATAACGTATCTAACGTTTTACAATCACGATAGCTAAAGATATTTATTATCGAATATGAAAACGTAGAAACATCTTTGATATCGATCTTCCTTTTACAGTCAGATCTATACGTGTAATTATAATTTTATTCATTCATATAACTTTTTTATGAATAAAAATTTTTATCTATTGTAAAATAGATATATTCCATGTATCGATATTATTTTATAATTAAAGCGATTTAGAGAGAATTAAAAATTCAACGCAATTTTCCCTATTGAAAAATAATTTAATAATTCGTTGATTTCGATAATTCTTTTTTTTTTTTTTTTCATTTTATTCTTAATATTTAAATCTTTTAAAAAGACCTGGTTTCGAAAAGACAATGTGAAATATCCCGTTCCCAGGAAGAATCTTATCAAATGGACAAACGGCGTGCGGCCCTGCAGGGTTTTAATTCGAATAAATCCAAGTTGACGAGGAGGCGGCCTTTTAAAATTCCAATGATAACGGACCGGATCCACGGAGCTCGTCAACGACGTAACGTCTACCGTATTATTTTTCTCCATCCTTATCCATATTTTTTTAAATCGCTCCTCTGAATTATTGGTATCAATAAGAAAAACAATAAAATTTTCGATACGATAAGAAATTCAAAATCTATTCTCTTTTCTGTTTTGATTATTTCAAGATATCATTTGTAATTTTCAATTAATCTATTAAGTAGATAATATACACTTTATATAATTAATTATGTTGATTATATCTAAATATATATATTCGAAAGATTCATATAATATTTAAATTAATATTTTTATATTAAAAAATGATTAATTTTGTTAATTTATTCTTTGTAATTAATTGCAAAACTTTTTTACAATTGATCAATAATTTCTAACAAGGAAAAAATAACATTATATATATATATATATATATATATATATAT